TTATTAAACAAGTATAATGATATTGGCTCTTTGAACTACGTAAAAAATAATAAGGAGCATACAGGCTAAACCGCAGGATGTTATTGCAAAATATTATATTTTATTACTTAAATATTTCGAAGAATATATACCTAAGCATTTAACTGCAAAATTTAAAGAAATCCTACTGTCTAATAGAAAGTACAAAAGTAATAAAAGAACGTAATAAAGAAGCGATTTATATGTACAAAATAATACATCCAGAAAATACTATTTATCCTTAGAAAAAATACTTTCATGGTTTTTCTGTATACATATTTATATGTTAAGTGTGTTTCTAAAGTAACGTTTATAATATTTCGTGATAAAATAAAGAAATTCAAAATATATATCTATAGGATAATAGACGATAGTATATGTGTTTTATATCCCGCAGGAGAAATGTACAGAAAAGTGAACCAAGTATAATGTCTGATCAATATCCAAAGTATTCCCTTGCTAAAAATATATTTGATAATTTTTTTAAAGCTGAATAAGCACAGTATTTTATTTTCAAATGAATCGTAATGGTATCGTAATAGTAAAACATCATATCAAGTTACATAAACGTTATTTTAATCTTTACCAAAATATGAGGCATTTTGCATAAGCTCTTTTCCTTTTCGTGGTTTCATTAACTTTCTTCATCGTCAGGAATATTCGTCCTTACAGTAAAACTCATAATGATACACGAAGTTGTTTACGAGGCCGTGAAATAGATAGACATCCCGAGTCAAAGTTTTGTACCATCAACCTGCTTTCCGTAAGGTAAGATTTACGTTAACTCTCGACAGTCTGAAAAACTTTACGAGTTTAAGTACTTTTCGTATCAGATGTCTCTAAGGTACGAGAAACCGGAAAATACGCATGGCAAAGTGGGATTGCATAAGAGAGATCGCATAGTGAATTTCTACTCCAATGGGATTGGCGAAAATATTATCAAGGATTTTAATAATCAAATTATATGAACAAACTTACGAATACCACAAAATATACATATATTCTCAGGAGATTTTAATAAGCCAATTGCCAGTAATGTTACTGATTATTATTTCATACTATTCCATGTTATATCAAAATACAATAATTTGATAATATCCAATATCATATTGTAGCACGAATGTGAATAGTCATTTATGACGTATTTTTGTTTGCGAAAAACGAGTCCGTTAAAAAAAATTTAGCTAGCACGTCACAATTTTAAGAAAAATAGCGTCAAAAAGGCAAAAAATAATGATTTTTAGGGTTTTCATGACCTGTACCAAATTTTTTTCTAAATTTTATTAATGACACGCGAAAGTATCAACTTTTAGTTTTAAAATACATTTCGTTTTGATATGATTTTTTGTTTTCGAGATATATATCAATATGAAAATAACTTTTTGCTCACGTAATATATGTAGCTACATGTATAGACCTGTACCTCGAAAACAAAAAATCGTATCAAAATGAATCAAAATGCATTTTAAAGCTAAAAATTGATTTTGCGTTCGTGAAATTTAGAAAAAAATTTGGTACCGATTGTACAATGTCACAAAAATTCTCATATTCGTCATTTTTTTGCTCCTTTCACGTCATTTGCTCAAAATTATGATGTGTTAGTCAAATTTTATCAATAGATTTATGTTCAATAGACAAAAATACGTCAAAAATGACTATTAACATTCATATCGCAAAAATAAGTCAAACTTTGTCTCAAATAATGTAACTATGCCAAATTAATTATCTTAATCTTAATTATCTTTAAACCAAATTTTATTCTTATTTGATGCTTTTACCAAACTATACAAATTACACTCATTTTCAATAAAAAATTTTAACGAAGCAATCGAAAATTTTACATCATTAAATTTATCGATTGCACAGTATTTTCCTTAAAGACATTCGAGCGCAACAAATAACAAAATATGTTATTAGTTCGATGCCCTTTAATTGCCGGAAAATATAAAATGGATCGTAATATAACGGAATATCGAGTTGAAGTCGATATCGCGGTACGAGCCCGACGCTCCCCAAGTAATTAGCTTGGTGCCGCTAGTAAGAAAACTTGTGAAAAGTCTAGACTAAATTTCCTACTTTATAATCAATACCGCACAAATAGCCGAAGGACTTTTCGACTTGCTCCATATTTTCTCTCTATCTAGATTATTGCAATTATGACACATTTTATCAGTAGCGATAAGCATTCGGACTTGCTAAAATTTTGACTGTAACTTTCCTAGTTTCAGATGTCCCGAGGAATATAATTATTCGCCTATTATAAGTTCGTGCACTGTAGTTATTGGCATATCTCTGTCTATGTTCTGTCGTTAAAATTATTTTGAAATTTATTTTTGTCGATTTTAGATCGTATAAACAAGGATGTAACAATTCCTGTAAAATAACATGACACGCGTTATAGCATATAGAAACTTATTCATCAAACTCACCGCGTTAAACTTCAGGTAATTATCTAAGGTAAACGGGAATATCCTTGTTAATCTCTTAGAAGCGTGGAAAGATATTTTTAGCAACCAAGAAGACGCCTTCGCAATTTTCTCATTAATTGGCGGATTTGGCCGTGATTGAGATTGTGGGCGAAGAAGCGTAATAAATGAATTAGCCTATAGCAGTATAACTACTATCTTATCAATTTTAATATATATTACAATATTTTAGCACTAAAAAAGTACTATCATTAAAAAAACGTATAGAAAAAGATATAAAAATTATAATACAGTAAATGCAATCATAAATAACAATAAAATTTATGTTTTAAACTCTTTTCATTAGAAGCTTAAAAATAACAAATAAAAATATTTTAAAATGTGAAAAATTATTATGAAGTCTTTTAAAATTAGTTTAAAATCACTTTAAAATATAATTTTTTGACACAAGTATAATCCTACTAATTATAAACCTTCAACAAGTTATTGATGTATTATCGTCTATATATGATTCAAAGTATTTTTTAGCTATTATATATTACATAATATTGAAAATAAATGGTCTCTCTTTTCAATTTTGTTCTACTTTTTCCTCGGTTTAATCCAATAGACATTGTACAATGAAGATAATGTTTGAAAATCCAAAAGTTTATAAATTTATATATATATATATAAAAATATACAAATAGCATTTTCCAAATTTTTATATGATTAGAATTACGTATTATATTAGAAATTATACTTTGATTTAAATAATATATAATTGGTATGATTTATGACTACATATGTAATTTCCAAAATATTTTACATATAATTTGTTAAAATAATTTTATTATCGGTTGCAATATAAATTAAGAAATCAAAATTTGAAATTAATAAATAAAAATAAAATATTGAAAACAAAAAGCGTGGAAAAATACAGAGAAAAGAGATATGCCTTTTGTCGATAGCATCATTTTTCCCGTTTATACGCCAACAACGTGTTCGTTGGATGATGGATCGAACAAAATGGATTCGTGACGTTTCCCAGGTAATAGGGATGGCACAAGTGTATTTTTCTTATGATATATCAAGAGCTTTATCCCGTTTTTAATTGTAAACTTTGATAAAATACCGACAAATATTCCAGTTTCGTGGGATGTAATCAATATTTTGGATTACATGTAATCCAAAATATTGATTACATCCCACGAAAATTGAATATTTGTAAATTATATAATATAAAAAACACTAAATAATAGTCATCACAGTAGGCTGATCATCATTATTTGTTGTTATTTTTGTTATTTCTTTATCCTTCATTCAATTTTTCATAAATCTTGTTTGTTACTGTTCACGTTTAGTAAGAATTAAGATGTTGTATGGAAATGCACAGAAATATGCAAATAATGAAAAAGATAATTTACAGTTAATCTCAAAAATAGTGATCAGATTGGCATTAAAAACAGAATATACATGTTTGGTCGCATCTTGGACGAGAGATATTGTATCTTTTATTATATAGAGAGTACAAAATTTCACGCGGAAAGTTGTAGAAACATAAAGAGAATCCCGCTGCATCCTGTGCAGAAAAAAAGATGCAGAAATGATTCCAAATTGTAGAGGGAACTCTCACCCACCATGAGAGAATTATGACACTGTTATTCGCGGCATACGTAAGCCGACTGCATACACGTGAGTAAAATAAAAAGTTTGCGAGACAGCATGTTTAAAGCATGTGTCGGGCAGTTATATACGTGAAACGCTTACTAACGAACCGTCGGTTTAAAATCTACAAAATTTCTAAACTGGTCGTACAGTCTGAAAATTTTCGACTTTAATTTTGCTCGCGCGCGCGTGCGCGCGCGTGTGTGTGTGTGTGTGTATGTGTGTGTGTGTGTGTGTGTGACCACAATAGCTTATTATCCCAGAGAAAAATTCTTTATGATCTATTGTTAAGTTATGAAACTACTACTAATCTTAACGGTTTGTGTTTCACAAAAATACATAATCTTTTTATTTTTTTATTACATACACGCGCGCGCGTAATTATATGTGTGTGCGTATGTGTTAATTAAAATCATTTTGGAAACAGGCATTCGTTATCACAAATCGTTCGTAGCGATTTCCTGATAACTTTGAAATAATTTTCCGATTGAGCTGCGGAGTGATTTAAAAGTGAACTTGAAAGAGTTTCGTAAAACGAGATCTAAAATTTTTCGATAAACGCAGTAGCTCGAGGTTGAGTGAACTCTCTCAAGCCAAACGAATTTTCCAGACCGAGAAACGAAAAAGTTTCCGTTAAAATACCGTCACTCTTAATACAGTTTATTTTCTGTCTTAAGCTTTCCAAGAATGTGCAACGGCTTCGTTTCATCGGAAATGTCGATTTTTGATAAATGGTGCACGCGTTTCTTGTTTTTGGCAGCAATAATCTTTATGAAGATTTTTACATAATCGATTGTATTTTATATTCTGCAACTCTTTACTCTATTATCTTCACGAATAACTATTAAATTTTCTTATTATTAGTATTTAAAAAGTTATATAATATCTTGTATAAAAACTTCAACTCACGTCTATCGATGAAACGAAAAGTGCCGGAAAAGCCAGTAGCATTAGATGATGGGAACTGAGTGTGAAACTCCAGAATGAGTGTTGATCTCGAGCTGTAAAGAACTTGTGGGATGTCACGCAGTTCTCCGCAAAGCACACCAGACCAAGGGGTGTATTCGGAAATGCCCTTACTCTCCAGGTGTAAAAATAACTTCAAGAAATCTCCTCTTGTACAGCTAAAATCAAATTTTAAACACACTGTTAGCATAATATATATATGATGATAAATAGAATATTAATCAGGCATCTATGTTTATGAATTTTTAATCATTTAATCATGACAATTCACCGTAACAAGAGAAAGACAGCATAAAACCAACAATACAAAGTTTTGTGATATATTTACACTAAACCGATATTTATTATTATATTTAAGATCTCCATAACTCGTAACATGCCCAAAGTAACTAATTGACTAATTACGCTTAGTGTTGAAACAGAACAGGTGTTCGCGAATCCCACTGTACACAGATTACCGCAGTTCATGTGCTTAGAGAACATTTGTGATCCCGTGACTTAAAGCGAATACAATGCCGAAATTAGCACGGCTTATGGCAAAGCCGAGAAGTTCATGTTTTAGCGGCTTGCACTCGTAAAAACAATTTGCTACTCGCATTAATTCGGGAATTCAGAATTATAACCTCGATGAGATCAGAGCTGCTTTCAATAACTCGCTGTTTTATCGATGGCCCATGATTAATGTCGAAATTACCCTAATCCTTGAGGGTTCACGTACCGCAATATATGGGATATTAAACCTATTACTCAACGCGAAACCATTATATCGAAATTATTTACAGGTGAACGATGAATTACACGTTAATTACACTGCGCTACAAGTTCAGTTGAAATTTTCCGAGGTCTTAATGATCCTGTTACGCAACCTATTTATCACAGTCGCCTGGACAGCTTCTAATTAATCGGTGGCACTCCCTGCGCGATATTCCATCTGTCGTGAATGAGTCGCCGCGATGCATACCTACCTGCGATAAAAGGAATTAATTTTACTCTAACATTTCTTCCTCACGAATAACCTCCCTGGAGACGCAGGTTACAAAAAATCTGTGAATGTGGATAATTTATCAGTATGCAATTCGTCATCGTTAATGGTGGTCGTGGAAGATTCTTGACAAAGCTGAAGCAACATCGTGAACAAAAACGAAACCGTGGGTGACCGCGTATCGACCGCAAAGGTCGCCACCATACTGAATATTAATTTTGCACCTTAATTTCCCAAACGTATTTCCGTCGACGCTCAGATCTTACGAGTCCCGTGTACGACCGTATAAGGTGGTCTGTAGCAGTCAACATCGTTATTAACTGAAGTAGGGAAGAGATGCGACCTTTAGCACACCTTGTATCTACTATGTAGAGTAATGAATTAGGGATAGAGTTGCGACGCAAAAGCGATATCATTTAGTCTTGACTTCTCGATGGACCTTTAATGGCTCGGACCTTTAAAGTCACAGAAGTCATTAGTCGAATAATGATGGTGTGAATAGTGACCGAGTTAGCGACAGTATATATAAACTCATATATCTTTCCCAAAAGTGCTTGTTTGAGTAATAAACAATAATAAACAATTTATCAAGACTGTATAATGTGAATACACAACAAGTAAGAAATAATGCCTATAATGGTCGAAGCTGGATCTTAAGTGCTTTTTAAATAATTCTGTGTGAATTTATATTAGCGCCGAGACACTATCGTGTCTTCAGATATACCATATACACGCAATTTAAAAGACTACAAATATGGTATATAAATTACATAGAATTATTTAAAAAGCACCTAAGATCCAGTTTTAATCGTTATAGGCATTATTTGTTATTTGTTGAGTATAAATAAAGCATGAAAATTGAAATATTTAACAATTTCTAAGAATACGTTTACATTAATAGCAAGAGACATGTAAATTATAATAGATGAAGAATAGAACAATTTGCAACTAGTGATTTAGTAGCTAAGGTAGTTTGAATAAAAAGAAAAAGAGAGAGCAAAATTCAAGAAAACAGGAACGAGAGGTAACATCAGGGGTGACAACAGAACATCTAAAGCTCGACGAATCAAGTCTTACGCGAGCTTTCCCGAGACACAGTACGCACAAGTATATCATAATACTACGTCGCGTCGCTTCACTCATACCTGAGGTAGGAATACCAATAATTTGTTCCGGAATTTCGAAAGATCTGCTTGTCGAACAGCGTGTTAAGAAAAGCTGAAATCGCACGTAAAGATCTGTGACTCAAGATGAAAAGATTGTTGCCACTTGAACGTCGGCATTGCTTTGCACCGTTTTGCGTCGGTTTTCGTGGCATGATTTTCTGCACTGGTTGCACTCGGACTGCCTGACTGCTGGCTGCCGCGATTTATTACGTAGTTCGGGAATTTATTACGTAGTTCGGAGTTTTTCACTTTCCGTGCAATGCCCGGGTGATATTTTCTAAGGTTTAGATGGGAGGATGCGATGGGAAATCATGAACGACCATGGTAGTCGATTGGAACTCGGCGGAAAAAATAAATCGAACCGCTGATGAATCTGTCAGACCCTTTGGCCACGTCGGATGAGTACGAGTTTTATGAGAAAAGCGGGTGACGTGAAATATGGCTCACTCCCTTGTGCACCTTTTCTGATCATACGTCAAAAAGTCAAAACGTGGTAAAAATTTTATTATGATCAAGGCTTGGTTAGTATATAACATGCCCACACGTGCAATATTAATGGAGAAAGCTTCCCGTTAATATTACATAGTAAGTTTCGCACACATATACGCAGTTATCTTTTTCTTATTCTTTCTTTCTATATTAAAATGTCGATACTTGATAAAGTGAAGAAAACTTTAAAATTAACGATGGTTGTCATTTAATTTCGCCTAATATCAGATATGTACATCAGATAAATAGACGCATCAACTTTGTGTCGGCACTAGCTGCGAACGAATAGATACACATAAATAAATAAATAAATGCAGAATAGCACGAAAGTCGCGATGAAAGTTCGTATACTTACTTTTCTATTATATGAAAATGCGCTTCGTTGTCACAAACTATCGATCATAAAAGAATTCAAAAGTACTTCCAAAATAAAAGTGTACTTCCAAAATAAAAGTTATAAGTATCGCAACGCCGTACATTATGTGATTTATTTATGTCTTCTATAAATACAACGATCTATGTGATCGGTGTGCGAACGATGACGAATATAACTTTATCGTTGCTCAGGCAGTGTAACTGCAGTTGGCGTTCGATATTGGCAATTGCACCAAATATAGCAACGATGTCGCGCGCTGAAAGCAAAGGTGAAAGAGAGAGAGAGAAAGAGAGAGATAAAAGAAAGGAAAAGACTTTGACATTTATATCTTGCACCTGTCATTCTATCTAAAAAAATAAATAAATTTCCATCTCAAAGAATGTATAAATATAAACATATAAATTAAAATAATTCTTATCATTTTATGATAAAATTGTCAAAGAGTCAACACTAGAAGCAAGAATACAAAGTCATGATTGAGACGAGAATCCTGATTAGCGTGTGACAGTTTAAAAAGTTTTCGCCAAAAGTTCGCAGAAGTTGTCAGCGTAACGGTGAACACAGAAGGTTCAACTTTATAAAGAATTTTCTATGATTGCCCAATGCCAGACATCAACATATCGCGTGTAATGAATACAAAATTTTTAGAAAATTAAATGGAATATTTGATTTAAATTACTTGAAAATTTAAACTATTTAAATTATTCGAAAATTTGATATAGAAAACAATTTAATAAAAAACACTACTGTATGATATGCCTACATATATTCTTAATAATAAACAATATGCCTAAATGAATTGTAATTAAACAATAATTGTAGATTTTGTCAATTATTTAGCTCATTTATGTACAAATTTATCTATCATAAATTTATATATATTGTTTAATTATTAAATATCCCATAAATATAAAAAAAAGGTCTATAAAAGGTCCGTTCACAATTCCTATTCTTCTTTTAGAAGAGGTAGAAATTCAAATATGAAATGTAGTTCTGCAGCGATTTCAGTAAGTGGACAGATCTAAGGTTAATGTACCATTAGGAGCTGACATTTTGCCGATTTCCGGAATTGTGATATTGACGTCCCAAAGGTTTTCTCGCAAGCGTATATACCATACAACCATATACCAGCTCTGTGGTTCTCCTCCACGCCTGTCCAATCATGCTACGTGATTTAATTTGAAATGCATATACTGTAAGCGAGGTTACGTATACATTACGTGTAAGAGAGTTACTCCAAATTTAGCCCACGGCTTTATGCGTTCATCCTTATCCCCGTAACGATAAACTAATCGGTCTCGCAAATACGTGTACGTCGCGTCGCAACTTATCTTCTCAGTTTCCCCGAACAACCGACTATCAATATATTAGAACCGTTGAAAGAACGTTTATTAAGAGTACATATCCATCCGTACGGTTTAATCAAATTCAGTATATAATTTACACGATTTCTAAGAAGTGAAAGAACTAAGAATTAAATGTCTAAATATTTCTGACTGATCAACAACTTTGTACGAATTTTTTTCTCTTGCTTCATATTATTCATATTCTATCCAAAGATTCGGTAAGTTTTTGCTTACTTTTTTAATGACAGACTACGCAAACAGCACTATATTACTTGTAACTTTATTCGCGCAACGTTCGTCGGATCTTTCGAAGCGTTATTTCCGCGCAATTCCGGCTTGTAATTTCCGCAGACAGCACCAGTGCTTATATATAAATACGGCGTGTTTTGCAACGACTTTAGAGTTCTCAGAAAACCGAACCCTATTACAGTCGCGGGGTTGGATTTGATGAACATATTATATATACATCCAATATTAACTGCCAGTGATATATATTACTTGATATATATTACCAGTACTTTATATTACACAGTTTTTATTTAACGAAAAATTGTGTAGCGCATATAAAGCTTCCTTAGAATAAATGCCAATGCATAATAATTGCATTCTCCATTACTTGCGATAATTGGACTTGCAGAAAGATTAATCCTTTTTTCTCTTTCTTAGTCATCTGTGCTGTATCTGGACAGACGACAAAATGAAAATTACGTTTTGTTGATTCCAATTAATGTAAATTTAAGGATAATTCTTTAAATATAACTCTGCTTTTTTGATATATAAGAAAGAATGAGTCTGTGTG